TTCCTTGCTCTCGCCAATTAGTTTTGAGCAATGATCAGTAGGAGTATGAGCTGGGATCTTATCAATAAATAAAATGCACAACATTGTGAGGGTTCACAAGGAGAGCATGTGTTAAGCTATATTATAATGTTGTATAATAATGTTGCATAATCAACTTCCGGTGTAAAAACCATGGAAATGTAAAAACAAACTAAATGTAGGCATTGAGAAGGTTTGAATCATAAGCAACCTGCCTACACATAGTTTGAAGTACAATACCAACATAGTTACTGTAGTAGGTCAAAGCTGTGCGCTGGAAAACCTTGGTAGAGCATGGGTGGAATAGGCATTGTGGTGCTCATGTGAATTTCCTTTCTTTTTCGGCTTCAGACCATTGCCTATCCTCACTTAAAACAGTTTTTGTTTTTAATTGCTTTATGGTCCCTGATTATTTATACAAAGGCATACATCATTCAGATATTAGTTAATGAGATATATATATATATATATATATGCTTCACAGAGTTCAAGTCACAGACACATCTCAACATCAACTGTTCAGAGGGGACTGTGTGAATCAGGCCTTCATGGTCGAATTGATGCAAAGAAACCACTACTAAAGGACACCAATAAGAAGAAGAGACCTGCTTGGGCCAAGAAACACAAACAATGGACATTAGACCGGTGGAAATGTGTCCTTTGGTCTGGGGTCCAAATTTGAGATTTTTGGTTCCAACCACTGTGTCTTTGTGAGACGCAATGAGGGTGAACGGATGATCTCTGCATGTGTAGTTCCCACCGTAAAGCATGGAGGAGGAGGTGTTATGGAGTGGGGGTGCTTTGCTGGTGACACTGTCTGTGATTTATTTTGAATTCAAGGCACACTTAACCAGCATGGCTACCACAGCATTCAGCAGCGATACGCCATCCCATCTGGTTTGGGCTTAGTGGGACTATCATTTGTTTTTCAACAGCACAATGACCCAACACACCTCCAGGCAGTGTAAGGGCTATTTTACCAAGAAGGAGAGTGATGGAGTGCTGCATCAGATGACCTGGACTTCACAATCCCCCGACCTTAACCCAATTGAGATGATTTGGGATGAGTCGGACGGCAGAGTGAAGGAAAAGCAGCCAACAAGTGCTCAGCATATATGGGAACTCCTTCAAAACTGTTGGAAAAGCATTCCAGGTGAAGCTGGTTGAGAGAATGCCAAGAGTGTGCAAAGCTGTCATCAAGGCAAAGGGTGGCTATTTGAAGAATCTCAAATATAAAATATATTTTGATTTGTTTAACACTTTTTTGGTTACTACATGATACCGTATGTGTTATTTCATAGTTTTCATGTCTTCACTTTTTTTCTACAATGTAAAAAATAGTAAAAATAAAGAAAAACCCTTGAATGAGTAGGTGTGTCCAAACTTTTGACTGGTACTGTATATATATCCAGTCGGATAAACACTCCAAACAGCCTACCCTACCACTCTGAGCTGTCGGCATGGTCCTAAAGCTCACCCTTGCCTCATTTTGTATCACATTCCAAAGAGAAAACAGGGGGGGGGACAAAAATACAATTTCAGAATGTGTGTGTGTGGAGGGGGGGGGGGGGGGGGGGGGGGGCATGTTATTAAATTAAATACTTACTTATTATTGTTTCACTATATATATATATATATATTATTTTTTTGGATTTGTTGTGTTGTGATCATAATAAGATATATAACAAAAATGTATAGTTGTTTTTCAAAAATACATTTTGAATAGGCCATACACTACAGGCTACACAGCCTTTTCCTCAGAAACACAGGCCTGCTAGTTGTTGGATTTTCTCGTATAACCTATACTTTTATCTCTCCTCACTTATTTTGATAAGTGCCTACATCTTTCCTGAGTCTTTTTATGTAATTAATATTTTTTTACTTAAAATATAGCTATTTCCAACGTATTATAACAGTAATGTCGCTTCCTATCCAGGTCAGCCCAGACCTTTGTGCTGAGAGCACCGGGATCCTTCTCTAGGAGGTCACAAGCGGTTCAGTGGCTGGCAGAGTGATGGACTGTTTTGACTTCCTAACATTGTGCCTGGAGTGCAGGTCTAAAACACTGGACTAGAACTACAGCATATTCAGTCTCTATTGCTCTCAGACTCACTCATGTATTTGGTTTATTAGGATACGCCATCTCTTAGTTAGTTTCTGTTCCACAACCCAGAGAGCGAGGCCTAGTCCATAGAATGAAAACATAACGGTACATTGACGGGGAAGGTTCACCTGTTATGACCGTCAGTGTTGGTGCTCTGCGCAGCGTACAGGTGTGCTGTTCCGGTGTTTCACCTGCAGGTTGCAGCATTGTTCCTGGAAAGGGTCTCAAACCTGTCACCTGGACCATGCAGACTGCGTTTCTCTGGTTGCGTTTACACAGGCAGCCCAAATATATATTTTGACCAATCAGATCAGCGCGGGAAAAGATCTGTTGCGAAAAGATCTGCTATGATTAGTCAAAAGACCAATTAGTGGAAAAAAGATCCGAATTGGGCTGCCTGTGTAAACGCATCCTCTGAGGCATCAGTGTGCATGATTGAGGAGGACGGACAGGTAGCCTAATATTTTGTGACGGCAAAATATTTGTCCACTTGCATTGTATTTGTAGAAACATGTATGGCCTAAGCAAGAATGTCTTCCGTTCTTTTTGATTTCCATTGCCTTGATTGCCATTGCATTGATTGCCATTGCCTTGCACGCTGAAGAAGGGCTCATACCCGAAACGCATACCAATAAAAATATGTCAATTTAAGTTTTTTTTACCGGAGTGCTGTCCTATTTCTGTTTCATTTATCATTGGCCCACAATAAAATAATTGACTTATCTTTCTCCATTTATAGCCTACTTCTTTGCAATGTTTGTCTAGATACAGCACTTCGTAGCAATAGTCTACCACTTTTTCAATAACATTAGTGGTAAACATTGTTAGGGGAACGCGAAGCGTAAAACATGACTTCGAGGTTCTGCTTCAGGACTGTGGGAAGCTCTAGATATAGACTATGGATACCTCCTAAGCTACAATCCTTTTGGTTTTATTTGAAGTGTATTGTGATAATTAATTTATGCACTTGAAGTAGCCTTCATTATTGTTTATCAATATTTTACAGATTACAGAACTAACTTGTCATTTGTTATGAAACATTGAACAAAAAAAAACGGTTTTGGTCAATGTTAACTGTATATCGTTTAGAATATGCAGGTCTGTGTCTTTGTTGTTGTTGTAATTCATCCCACATCTTGTTTCTATTCAAAATATATTGTAAACCTAATTCAGGAAATCAGGAAATTGATGCAACGTGTGTCATGTTTAAAAAATAAAAATTCCTGAACATATAGCAGGATAAAAAGGGTAATTTTAATTTTAATTTTATCCAGCTATTAAGGTGTTTATGATGAAAAAACAAACATGACATGCACGACTGTATTGTTTATTACAATAACAATTTATTTCAGTATGACACAGACATTTTGAATTGCGTGACTGAAACAAGAATGCTCGTGTAGCCTACAAGGTTTTTGTAGCCTACAAATGTCATATTTAAACACTCTACATTTGATTGTACATTGTTTAGGAGATCCGGATCCCGGGCACGTTTCTTACCCATGTGAACGCCACAGAACAGATAATGTTGAATGAGTAGGGTACCCCATATTTTATTACAATTTACCCTCAACCATAGGAGATGGAGCACAGTTTCCCCAAGTCTGAGATTCCATCCTCGAATTGGAGGAAGAGTAGGAAGAATGTTGTAGTTTTTAAAAAACGACTTAGAGCTTGAAGATACGTGTATATTTTAACTGTACTTAATAGATATATATATTATAACTATACATGATTTGCTATTGTGAAGCGAAATGTCCGTACAAAGCCAACCCCATTCTCACTCGGAACGTCCTTCCCAGACGTGTGTTGCTATTAATGTTAATTATCCTTCGTGATTTATTTGACATAATTCAGCACTCACCATTTCTGGGACTGATCTCACCAGCCTTAAATATTTAGAAATAGCTCAAACGAGCTGTAATTTGTGCCTAACAATCCTGCATGTTTCCTTAGCCGTGCGGTGCAGGCAGAGGCAGACAGAGGGGTGAAATGTAGGTCTGTAAATGTATTTCCCTTTCTTCATAATTTGTACCTTACACTGCAGCTTCCTAGCTGTGCCATGCCATGCAGAGTGGGGGAAATGTAAGTCAGAAATTAATCTATAACCTTCATTCCTCTGGCAGTTAAGTAGTTTAAGTGGGATGAGGAGGATGCCAAAACAGTGCGAGCGTTGCAGGCGCTATATGCCCTTATTTCCAGGCAGATATGGGATCTTCCTCATCCTTCCTTATGCGCATGCAAACCTTTTTCCACCCCGATTCCAAACACACTTGAAGTATACTTGATGGAAAAATATATACATTTAGTTTTTATTGCCCTTGTCTTTAACCAAAGGAAAATAAAGAATACATACTTGTGGTTTGCTTTGATAATTTTTTCCAAATATTTTTTTTATTTCCCCTCATAAAAATATCGTGCATGAATCAATGTTCAGGTAAACAGACTGTATTTCCTTTTGTGCAGCTTTTTGTGCAGTAGTCAACAATCGAACAAATATTTTAAACGAATATTTTGCAGCAAGTCATACAAAACTAGGCTACAACAACACAAATATTTATATTTTTTCATATTTGGCACATGGTAGCAGTGTAGAAATAACCTTACACACACACACACACACACACACACACAGTGGAATGTCATGTCATTAGATTGCAACTAATTTTCTCGGTCTTAGTAATAACCAGATAGAAATAAAGTAACTTGACAACAAGAAAACATTACGTTTTTCATCACTGCTAAACGACTTGTTATCATTAGAAACAGTTCAATGCACTGACATTTCTTTTTTAAACTAGAAAAACGTAGAGCGCATAGGAAAGTGCACATGGCAAATGTAAGATACATCATTACATTATTGTCCCTTATGTTGACTTTAGGAGAGCAATGAGTCTATCTGGAAAGGATGACAGCTGCCACCTCGCGCTGTGTGAATCTTCACCGGGGAGAAAGCAGCCTCGGAGTTTGGCATGTGGCCCTGTGTGTCGGTCCCTGCTGTGAGTGGGTCTCTGCTGTGCTCTGCTTGCTCCGCGAGGCTGCACCTGTATGCGTGTAACATGTGGGACGCCCCTGAGCTGACCTGGTGGTATAACTGCTGTGCATGTGCGTGCACCATAGCAGTGGGTACCGGTGGGTAGCCCAGTGTGTGGGGCAGCATGTGGTGGGCACCGGTGGGCCAGTAGCGCCGGTGGGAACCGGGATTGGCATACGCAGTGTCTGCATCAGTGTTGTCTATATCCTCCCTCCTTATGAAGGGCTTACTGAGGATGCTATCGATGGAGAAGGAGCTGGAAAAGCTGGAGAACTTGGCTCCCATCATCCTCTCCTCCCCGGTGGATGCAGATGGAGTGCTCGAAATGCGAGTCTCCTCGTCCGGGGTCTTGGTGTCCTTATTGGAACCACTGCCGGATCGGCACTTACTGATGCGCTTCCTCCTGCGCCGGAACACCCCGTCGGCGAAGGTATACTCGCTGTTCGGGTTCAGCATCCAGTAGTTGTCCTTGCCCCAGGGCCTGGACGGGTCCCGGAGCACCTTGAGGAAACAGTCATTCAGCGACAGGTTGTGGCGCACCGAGTTCCGCCAGCCAGTGTAGCTGCCCCGGAAGAACAGGAACTTATTCGTCAGGTAGTCGTTGATCTCCGCCAGAGTCAACTTGCCGCTGCCGGAGTCCCGGATGGCCATGGCAATGAGTGCGATGTAGGAGTAGGGCGGCTTTGGTCTGCGGGTGTAGGGCTTTCCCTTGCCATCGGCGCTGCTCGGGGTGGCAGGTGTTGGGCTGTTTGCCACGCAGTCCCCGTCTGAGCCCAGCTCGTCTCCGGATAGGGGAGAGGGGACGGTTCCCTCTGCATCACTGTGAGTGCACACCTCCATGGGCTTCTGAACGAAGTGGGTTGCGGAGAACACTTCAAGTTTCATGTTTAAATCTTTATTTTGTATCTTCCTCCTCTCACCTGTCAGTATAACTGTCAGAGTTCCTTGCAGTGCGGTTCAGTTCTCCTCGTCTGAAAGTAAGACAATCTCAAGTCTGTATGTGGTGGTTCTTTGGAGAGGCGCAGGTGTAGCCGGTGAATCTGTTTCACCAGTGCACGTGTCTGTGAAAGCGGAGGTCGCTTTCGGTGCGGGGAGATCCGTTGTACAGAGGAACTGGAGGCACCCAAGCTCGTGCCTGTTGAGCAGCAGAGAGTAGATTTGTCTCAGGAGACGCGACCTGTTATAATATAATCCCTCTGAGAGGGACGGCCCACGGCGGGCGTGGTCTAGCATCTAGGGCTCAGAGTAATCTCAAATCCATTGAAATGATTGTGGGATTTATGATCACACTCTCCTCAGTGCCACACACGAGTAATGTAAAAAAATACATCAAAAGTATAGAAAGCTGAAGTTAGGAGGAAGAGATAAGAACTGTGTTTTTCCCCCCCATATATTTTGGGGCGCTTCAACGTCTCCTCTCTCTCTCCCTCGCTCTCTCTCTCTCTCCCTCTCTCTCTCTCTCTCTCTCTCTCTCTCTCTCTCTCTCTCTCTCTCTCTCTCCTCTCTCTCTCTCTCTCTCTCCTCTCTCTCCTCTCTCTCTCTCTCTCTCTCTCTCTCTCTCACTTAATCCACTCACTTAATCACACTCACTTACCACACACACACCACACACACACCACACACACGCACACACACACACACACACACACACACACACACACACACACACACACACACACACACACACACACACACACACACACACACACACACACACACACACACACACACACACAAACACACACACCTGCATGACTCTAGATTGTGTGCCAGAAAATAGTTTTGCGCGAGGTGGCGTACGTTTGCCAGATAGACACACACAGATGTGTTTACGTTTGTAATGTTTATGTTTGTAGAGAATTTCACGTCATGCTGCATTTATTTACAAGTCTATTTCAATGATACATTTATGGCGAGTCTGAACAAAAACACCGTAGACCAGCTCTAGGTCTAATCAACCAAAAAATATTGTCTGCATAATAACCAGTATAATACCATGGTATTATATGTTACATTTCTGGGGAAAGTTTGTTAGAGTTTAATACCTTAGGAAGTATATGTTTACACCTTTATACATTGCCCACCTTTTTTTTTGCTGCAGAGCGATGATTAGTCCTAGGACATAAAACTGTGATTATTAAACCTTGAGGATTATGTCAATGACAATGATATCCGGGGATAATTAAACAACACCACTTTCTATCAGAAACTGTCACGTGACCCCACAACACTGCTCAAAGACTAAATTCACTGCAAGCTTTTGTAGATTTCTTTCCAAAACAATGTGTGGTGTCACCCCTGAATATGTACGAGATTATATGGACATGATTTACACCCTTAAGACAATAATGGGGAGATGCATATGGCTTGCTTTGATGTTGAATCCCTGTCTACAAACATCCCCCACCAGGGAGGCCTAGAAGCTATGGCACACTATCTCAGTCAGCAACCCACTAGTCCACTCCCTAGCATTAACTGTGTTGTTGAACTTGCTGAGATTGTTGTAAGAACCTTTTCATGTTTGAAAATGACATATTTATTCAAAAGAAGGGAACTGCTATGGGTAGTAAAATATGCTATATATACAAAAGTATGTGGAGACCACTTCAAATGAGTGGATTTGGCTATTTCAGCCAAACCCATTGTTGACAGGTGTACAAAATCGAGCACACAGCCATGCAATCTCCATAGACAAACATTGGCAGTAGAATGGCCTTCCTGAAGAGCTGAGTGACTTTCAACGTGTCACCGTCATAGGATGCCACCTTTCCAACACGTCAGTTCGTCAGATTTCTGCCCTGCTAGAGCTTCCCCGGTCAACTGTAAGTGCTGTTATTGTGAAATGGAAACATCGAGGAGCAACAACAGCTCAGCAGCGAAGTGGTAGGCCACACAAGCTCCCAGAGAGTGTAAAAATAATCTGTACTCAGTTGCAACACTCACTACCAAGTTCCAAACTGCCTCTGGAAGCAACGTCAGCACAATAACTGTTCGTCGGGAGCTTCATGAAATGGGTTTCCATGGCAGAGCAGCCACACGCACACAAGCCTAAAATCACCATGTCGGCTGGAGTGGTGTAAAGCTCGCTGCCATTGGACTCTGGAGCAATGGAAACGCATTCTCTGGAGTGAAGAATCACGCTTCACCATCTGGCAGTCTGACGGACGAATCTGAGTTTGGCAGATGCCAGGAGAACCCTACCTGCCCCAATGAATAGTGCCAACTGTAAAGTTTGGTGGAGGAGGAATAATGGTCTGGGGCTGTTTTACATGGTTCGGGTTAGGCCCTTAGTTCCAGTGAAGGGAGATCTTAAAGCTACAGCATACAATGACATTCTAGACGATTCTGTGCTTCCAACTTTGTGGCAACAGTTTGGGGAAGGCCCTTCGCTGTTTCAGCATGAGAATGCCCCCATGCAAAAAGCGAAGTCCATACAGAAATGGTTTGTCGAGATCGGTGTGGAAGAACTTGACTGGCCTGGACAGAGCCCTGACCTCAACCCCATCGATCACCTTTGGGATGAATTGGAACGCCGACTGCAAGCCAGGTCTAATCGCCTAACGTCATTGCCCAACCTCACCAATGCTCTTGTAGCTGAATGGAAGCAAGCCCCCGCAGCAATGTTCCAACATCTAGTGGAAAGACTTCCCAGAAGAGTGGAGGCTGTTATAGCAGCAAAGGGGGGACCAAATCCATATTAATGCCCTTGATTTTGCAATGAGATGTTCGACGAGCAGGTGTCCACATACTTTTGGTCATGTAGTGAAGCACCAAATTATGCCAATCTGTATGTGTGGTTGTTAGAGAAGAATGTGATTTTCAGCCCTAAGGGACAGATCGAAATGAACAGTGTGGGAGGGGGTGGTCCAACTCAAGGTGTCATTAAAAAGAATGCACCGCCCTTCCCCAATGTTACAAATATTTTCACATGACCCTCCCCTTGTGCTGTAAAAGAAATTGGACACCCCCCTCAGAATTAACTCAAAATAATGTTTACACCCACAAATAACAATAGCTGTAGTGACCCTGTGTTTATATACGTGGATACTGACTTTGCCACTTCAACATGCTTGTTGATGCCACACAGGGCTATGGGCCAGAAGGTTTGCTGACCACCACTCTCCATGCCTGTTTCATTACTTCACTATCAGAGCCAGTTGCAAACAATGATCAGCTGGGGGAATCAGATTTTCAACATTTTGATGCCATATTTATAATTATAGAAATTTTCCACCAACAGGTTTCTGTGCCAATGCACCACACAACCAATAAACAAAACATACTGACTTTGGGCACTTTAATATCATGGTTTGCATTTTCAACACCACAAGAAATAGACTTTGTCAATCTCAACAAACAGAAAAAACATCCCTACCTTGTAGGCTTAACCAGTATCGAAGGCTTGGCTTGACAATCTCCAAATGTCATTCAACTTCTTGGTGTTTTGTAACAGATCTCTCTTTCCATTTATCAAATTGCAGCTACACAGTTTGGATTGATTGATTTATATTATTTGTCAGTATAAAAAAAACGACTTATATGCACAAATAATTGTAAAAGTGACTGGGATTGCACAGTAAAATCAGGGACTTATTTCCATTGTGGTCCATACATTTGCTGCAGCATATGCTACGGTAATAGAAGGACTAAATGCACATCTAATTTAAACATCTCAATCTGTCTTTTGGAGGTCACCTTATTGTTCTATTGTAAATTAAATGCAGTTATTAGCCTTATATTTCTAATGAATGATGAGCGATGCATAAGCTTCTAAATTATAACCTGTTTCTTGAGCAATATGCACCATGCGCTCTGCTGGCCTCTCTCCTTAAAAAACGCTGCTTAGCTCTTGGATTCCCAGGAAAAGCTAGACTAGAATAGCTTGCTGGAAGATTTTATTTTCAGCATTTCTTAGACTAATAGACTATTGGAAGAGGGATGCAAGCTCTTGTTGGCTGAATGTTAAATACAGCAGCCAATAGAACTCATGGCCACAGGCAGGGGAGTTTGAAAGAAGATAGAACGCGGAATGGCGGTAAGCTATAGCAGTTATTTGTTCAGACCCATAACCATTCAATCTTCATGAAGAGAAAAGAAAGCCATCTGCATCTTATTCTAGTCCTATGTTATTCGAGCATGTCATTACAAAGATGAAGATCAGGACAACAAAACATTTAATTTAACTGTTGAAAGTGATTAAGGAATAAAGCAACAATAGAGAAAGAGGAGGTAGGCTAATACTGCACATTGCACAACATTAGGGGAAATATTATGAAAGGTATGCATGCATCAGCCTACTAATGTTAAAACTGTAAAATAGACCCTATTATATTTCAAAATTAAAATCTAATTGCTAGCCTATAATTGTAACTTTGTAGGCTGCATGTCCTGCACCAGCATCACATGTTCTCTCCGGGGTTCATGGTTTGAAAGAGGTGTGTAATTCCAGTCCATATAATACAGTATAATACAATACAGTAATACAGTTCACACTCAAAAAGATTAGCCTACTGGAGCTTGTTTCATTTACTTACCCAAGAGAGCATATAGCTAGCTACATCTATGGGCTTTTATGTTTTTCTGTCATGCGTAATGTGCAGTAACCTATCATATCTATTGGATAACTGCACAGCCATTTGACCTTTTTTGGACTTGGGCTCATAAAATGTATTTAATGTAGGGATCATAAAATGTATTTAATATATGGCTCATCAGGCTTAGTTAGCATCAGACTTGAATTTTCATGCCATCAAAGCTCTAATCAAATCCAGACATATGCTTTAAATGCTCTAAAATGACACTTCTGCTTTGGGCGGGACATACCGGGTTACCTGGGAGAAAAGCGATTATTCTCGCGATGGAACATTTGTAGATTCCAGGGGAAA